CATTCCCATTTGATGTTTAAAATTCGCCGAATCCTAACCAACGAAAGAATTCTTCGATGGCTTGATTGTTATCTATCCCACCGACACCAATACATTCGGATAGCAGATAAAAATTCTTCTTCCGCTCCCGTGCATTCTGGGGTACCACAGGGCTCTGTCCTAGGACCACTTTTATTTTTAGTTTATCTAAATGACATGTCATCCGAATCTACTGTGCAGTGTCGTTTTTTCGCGGACGACTGCGTTGCGTACCTGCCCATTCAATCAAGAACAGATCACGCCACCCTAAATGAATACTTATCGGTTGTTACAGCATGGTGTAACTCCTGGAAAATGAGCCTCAACATAGCAAAGTGCGTCAAGATGACCATAACACGTAAAAAAAATCCCTCGGAATTCACTTACATGTTAAACAACACTGCTATAACAACCGTTAACCAGTACAAATACCTTGGTCTGACAATCACTTCTAATTTGAGCTGGAAAACTCATATTGAAGGTATAACATCAGCAGCACTGCGGCGATTGTGGTTCTTAAAGCATCGCATGAGGCACTGCACCAGCAAAACAAAACTAGTTGCTTACACTACATTGGTACGCCCATTGTTGGAATATGCTGACGTTGTATGGGATACACACACACAAACTGAAATATACTTACTAGAACGAGTCCAAAATAAATCCCTTCGGTTTATTTACCACGCGTATAGTAGACACTGTTCAGTCACTGAACTCCGTAATAGATCCGCCCTTCCCACATTGGAGTCGCGTAGAAAGCTACATCGCTTAAAATTCCTTTATAACATAGTCAACGGACACTCAGGACTCGCCTTTAACACTTACATGCAGTACAATACATCGCGGAAAACTCGGAACAAGCATGATAACACCATAGTGGTGCCACTTACAAAAACAAATTCTCGGCGATATTCCTTCTTTCCACGAACAATTTCCGACTGGAATGAACTACCTCATGACGTCACCAGCATCGCAGCGCCCGACGCATTCTTATCAGCTGCCACTGCCTGTCTGTAGTAAAAGCTGTCTGGTCGTATGTGCAGATTTCAATTCTTTTTATGATGTTCTTTCACTTCGTGTTAGGAACAAAATTTGGATTGTATTTTTGATACCACTCTTGTGTTGCTCCTGTAACCCGAGTATTCATGTTCCACGCAAACCTGTTATGTTGTGATTTTATTTCTGCGCCGTGAAGAATAGTGTTATAAGTGACTGCAAGTATGAAAGTTTGTATCATTCCTGCCTTGGCCACCAAGAGGTGGCTGGCAGTATGCAATAAATAAAAGAAATAACCACAATCTGTGAATTTTTATGTATAGGGCACACTAAATAGAAACAACCAAAATTACTCTGAAGAAACAATATTGAACATTTGAAATAGCGTTGCTATGCCACTGCTTGTATAGATATTTGTTGTGGTTTACATGAAGAGCATGTGGAAATGTACCGGTTAGAATCATATGAGCACTGCCACTGCTGGAGCGAAACATGAAAAAAATAAGCATGTCTTGGCACACGAGCAACTACCGGGTCGGCCATGTACCACCTTTATATTTATCCGATACATGATATCGAGCAACCAGACTGATGATGGCATGATCATAACGTTTGTTTTGGGATGGGAGGCGGGAACACACTGTGCAGCGGCTGATTATTGCAGGTTGATCTTACCGGCAGGGTTCCAGAGCTCCGAAAGGTTCAATTTCAACGCTGGTATTGCTTGGACAAAGTCAACAAAGAGGACGGCGTAAATTTCTTGCTCATACAACCACGAACGGCGTCGTTATCAACCGCCAATCTAGAAACTTCCTCTGCTAGCAACGCATTCCACATGAAGTACTGATGCTCACTTTCTGAGGGTTGACAACGCCGCTAGCTGACCCTCCTTCATCAAAGCTATATTGAAGCAATGCAGCTATTGAGTGCGTCTTTGAAGTGTACAGCAAATGCGCCCTTGGCTTTTCGGTGTTGCCAGCTATATCAGCCAAATTTAATCATCCCGCTGTGATTACTAGCGGCCGTCATTCAGAAATTTCAAGAGGGTGTAAGGAAGCAACAACGACGCCGCTGCTCTGGTGCGAGCATGGCTAGGTAAAAGAAGAAAATACCGAAATCGGATATGTGCCTCTTTGTCTCAATACAACGACTATGGACTCCTCGCAGGAAGGACGTGAATTCACCCACTAGCCAAAATTGTTAATTGTTACACTTTCTCTTATTGCTCATGTTTTATCATTGATACCGTAATGTCGCAGTTAGCACGCTGATACTCTTTCTTATTAAAATTTTAGAGATATTAGACACCTGTATTGAAACAACTCATATATTAAAAGCAGCAGTGAGCCCTGAAATGAGGCCTGTGGTACATCTGACGCTACACTGATTTCCGGCTAGTCACTATCGTTAAAAGTAACGTACTGAAAACTGTTTATTAGGGGGTGATCCAGCCATACTAGTACATAACAGTGAAGTTCAAAAGAGGAGAGCTTATGTATTAGTAAAGCGTGATTAAATACTGCAAAAGCGTTCGCAAAACTCCGGCAAAATATTGCCAACCGAAGCCGATTTATCAAAAATGGTGTGCAAATAATGGGTGAAATTGGTAACTGGGTTTTGCAAGACCATTTGCGGCTAAAAAAACTTGGGCCCTTGAAAAATTGAGCTGGATTAAAAAAAATAGCTAAATATGAGAATAGTTCAGGTTCCAATGGTTTACATAAAATACTTGTTAGTGAAGTGGCTTGAAAGTTAGGAGCAGAGTGCTTATTATCAGTCTTGTGTACGGTATCAGCTCACCAAATTTCCAGTTCAGTGGTAGCAATTCCTGGTCATGGGACTGATGAAACTTTTTGTGCAAGAATAGAAAAGAATCTGCGCGTTTCTGTTTTAGAAACTTTGGATTGATATTGTCAGTGCCACATAATGCTTTTTGAAGTGTGAATATACTTCATAATTCTGCCAGAATCAAAAACATTACGAAACATAGAGCAGTACTTCTAGCAAACAGGTGCCGCGACAGGTGCAGCAGTGGTTTTCAAAAAAAATCAGCTGAAGAAAAGTTGTTCAGTAACAAAGCGCATTTACATGCTAGTAGTAGTTCACAAGAGCAATAATAGTTGCTAAACTTGCATTTTGATTAAATTGATCACATAGTTATGAACGGCGCAAAAAAAACAAAAAAATACGGGACACAGATGAAGAAAACCACAAAGACATTGGTGCTGGACTCGCAACTAATTTTTGTTCACGTCGACTCACACATACATACAGGCACGTGGTTCCAAAAACAAGTGAAACACCACGAAAGTTCGTCATAAATTTATATCCAAGTGACATATCTCCTTTTGTTACAGAGAGATAGAGGAAATGCTGATACATGAGTTAGATTTTGAACTGTGCAAAGCCTCTATTATTTCTCGAGTTGTCTGTTTGTGATTCCTGGGGATGATGCTATTTGAATAGTAATTTATGGCAAACCTTTCATGCTGTTTCATTTGTTTTTTTTTTGGACCACGGGCCTGTATGTATGTGTGAGTCGACGTGAATAAAAATTAGTTGCGTGTCCCGCACCAGTGCCGGTGTGGTGTTCTTTATCGGTGTCCTGTGTGTTTCTTTGCGCTGTTCATAACTATGGACCAACATCAACTAACTCAACTCTCCGTGCTAATAAATTGACCACGTTTCAAAATGGCTGATGCTTCCTTGACAAAGTTTCAGGCAAAGCATGTGTTTAGAAACAGTGTTTAACAGTACGGCAAGCTTGCGTGTGCTTTGCATCAGCATTGTGATAAACTACTCAGCAATCTGTAGTATTTGGAAATTTGGCTGCGCGGTAAAGGCGCTCTCTCTTAATAAAGAAACGTTTGAGGCGCTCGTTGAGATTTTTTGTGTTCTTCAGAATGCGTCCAAGGAGAACATGTACTTGAGAGACGCCACTAACTAATGTTCTGAAAAGATGGCAATTTTCTTAGGGACTTCGCTCGTCAAAGTTTTAAGTGCACCTGAATGTCTGCTTTCATCGCATGAAAATCAACACTGTGGTAGCTTCGCACACATTGGTGTTTTTTTCTATTTCAACGTCAAAAAAATCTGGTAATGTCGAAATTTAGCACCAAATTGTTTCGCAGATTAGGAAGACCAATAATTGTGGTTTTTAGGCATGGGTGTGTCGTGAAAACTAGGAAAAATGTATTCGATGACACATTCCTTGTTTTTGTTTTCTAAATATATACTATATGTGCATGGCACTTCTACTACAATCGAAACTGCAGAAACTTCCAAGAATATTCAAAAGGCACCTTTTTACGTTCACTGAATGTGCGAAATTGTTACGATGTATCTATATATACCCCGTTTAGTATGTTAGATCTAAACTGTAATGCACAATGACCTCATTCGCTTAGTCATGTGATTGATTTGGCGAGGAGCAAACCACTGTGGGTGGAGTTTTTAGAAGACTATGCTAATTTATGTACTTAAGCTCTCAATGCTACATAGCAGTATTGAGGGTTTAGTGTAAAAGTTGCATTGCAAGTCCACATTAGAACAAACATGCAATACTTGAAGAATAAACAATGATAAATATGTTCCGCTTAAGCACCACTATTATACTTATGCTTGTGAAAACTGTACAACTGAGCAGCTACTGTTGGAAAATGAGCTGTTGAAGTAGAATTTAGTGACTCTGACATGATCTGCGTTATATATAACATCAGATAATTACACATGTATACAAAAAAAGTTATTGTGGGCCGTTTTTTTTGCTGTCTTTAGGAAAAACTTTCACTAAGTATGATAGGGGATTAAATCAGGCAGCATACGGACTAAATTAAATTGAATTCGATATTTTCCGTCCAACATAGGGTGTTTGTTTCAGGACGACCAACATTTTTAGGTGCCGACAAAAATCTTAAACTATTTAGTTTGCCATTGGCTTACTGATTTGTTTTGGTCAGAGGAATTGCTACAAAGGCGCAACGATATACAGGCAACCAATATAAATTAACTTTTATTATCTTCCATCTCACCAAGTCAGCGTCGTTTTACCAGCTGATATTGTTTTGAAGTGCTGTCAAAGATATTCACGAACACAAACTCCCACGCACTCTGCTTTAGAGTCGAATAGATTAGGACCACCATTGCAACCGCCATACAGAAACTGGAAGCAGTCCTTGTGGTACGGGTCGAAGTACCACTTGAAATGGAAGTTGTAGCACGGTCCGCGGTTCGGCCAATGGTGGCAGTCCTCGGGAGAGCGATCTGCAACGAATGCGTAGAGTTCGTAAGTACCCCCTAAAAAACGATATTTGAAAAAGCAACAACAGTCATATTAGTATCATTCTCTTCACATAGCGATATTTCTTGCGTGATATTTGAAGAGAATAAACATTATAGTGGAGAGAGGTACAACCATGACATCGTGAGCATTACCAAGCAATGAAAGAAAATATCTAGAGACGTAATTAAAAAAAACACTTCAAAGTCTATTTCAAGCATAACAGATATAACGATGCTTGTTCAGCTAAAGCGCAACATCACTGTAACTTTGTACCCTTGTGTATTTTTTTGTTTTACTGGGCTGACTAACAGTTCATCGAAAATTCTGCAAAGCATTTGAGAAGTAAAAGTCTGTTAGAGCTGCACTGAATTTTGAAGTCATAAATTAGCGTTGTCGAAAATTAAATAGCAGTCAATAAATTCACATATTTTATTTTAAAAACATTCAGTGTGTGTTTTAAAAGAATTTTGCCTGAAAAAGTTTAGTACTTTCGCAGGTATGTTTATACAAGTACTTCTAACGCACCAGATATTCAGTTCCAATGTATTAACGAAATAATGCGCACTCTTGAAGTATCAAAAAGTGCCACGGGAAGGCTGACATATTCCGCTTCGTACTGCAGCTCAAGTATGTGGTAATAGTTAACAGATATAAATTGCTTATTTTTTCCTCTCCGTCTAAACATCCCGTTGTTGTAGTTTGTAGCAACGCAGATTTGGCGTCATTTGTAGTTGTTTGCAGCAAAATGAGGCACATTTTAAACAACGTTTTAGTTAACCCGGCAAATGTAGCGTCGGCTACATGGAGTTCACTTCAAGGCTGATATACAAGAGATGTATATCTCTTGCATGTCAGCCTCGAATTGCACTTGCCAAAATGTTTGTACATGAGGCTGGCTCTGCTGCTTTAAAGTTGCTTAGCTACGGATGCACAATATCTGGCAACAATAATGTTATTCACAATTCTGCTTTGCATTTTAAAGGATAGCTGATGCCGCATAATCGTTCATTGGCATACATACCATGATATTGATTGCACAGTTTCAAAGTAAAGTGAAAGATTACTTGACAGTTCCTCACCTCTCCAACAATTATGTGAAAAAGCTGCAGGGGTAGCCTATGTTTACATACCTCGAGGCACTATGACATTGGATCAATTCTAAGAATTCGTCCAAATATCGCATACAATAACAACTCATTTTTTCTGATGATAGAGAATGGTACGTTATATAAGGCTCATCATGGGAAGCAAGCGGTGTCTTCTGATTCAGGATTTGCATTTTCACATTTATTTCTGCCATAAGACACACGTGGATTCAAATGATCAACGAGGGAAGGGGATTGCTGAGCATCAAGCAGACGCTACGCTTAAAGGCTATCTCCGGTGACTGTATCGGTTAGTGGATCTCAAAGAAGTTCGCTGGGCTTGTTTTTTGCACGTTTTTGTCATTACCGTCACACTACATGCCAGATAGATTCGCAGATCCCGACTTTCCCTGTTGTCTTCCCGCACTTATCGACAACATTTCGTGCAATACGTCATTCAGGGCAAAACGATTGAAGTCACAGAAACGAGGTGCCAACGAAGCATCTGCTATTCACAAACCAACGATTGTTTCCCTAAATACTCGCAGCTAACGATCGCTCTCCATCTTCCTAGAAATCTGTTTCAAGAAGCTTACTAGTACTGGTTTATCGGCTGAAGAGGGCACGAGGGTGAACATTACTGTAGAAAAACACATTCCGTCCACAACTTCCACCCCTATCCGTATATGGCCTGATGCGTGTCGTGGACAACGTGACACATAAACGGCTTATAATAGATTGCATTGACCATTTCAACGCTATGTAAGAAGTCGCTCTTTATTGACTTAAGTATTCTTACCAAAGCAACAATAAACAAATTTATTTTTTTCACAAAGTTCTTACAGATACCATTTCAAGTGATCGTAGCAGCTACACACTGAAGCCGCCTATAGACAGACAGTACCATTTAACGCTGGAATGCACTGGTTTCTTCAACTTGACCGAGTATGAATGAAGTATGAATATGAATTGGGCCAGCAAAGACGTATGAATTGCAGCATCTATTGAAACTGGTCTACGTTGCACAACGGAATAACGGAATACCCGTTTGGCAAGCGCAAAAGCTGGATAACCAACATTTCTTCTTTTGGATTTGCCTATGTTGCTGTTGGCATCGATATTTAACAAGGAACAACTGGTTAAATAAAACAAACCTGACAATTGAACATATGTATGGGAGCTGCATATTAGTGCATAACTTCAGCATAATTTCGTAACGTTTCGCTCAACAAAGAATAATTACACTACTGTCACCTCACCTCTGTGCGCTTCACATAACATCAATTGCCATGGTGCGGAGGATCTGGCGCATTTCACGCCTCGCGTATAAAAAGTGTTCGATTGGGGTTTGGCTACTGTTTTGCATATTTCGCCTATAAAAAATTATTGGCCGATTTGACAAGTATCTGTTCTACTGTTCTGTGAAAAGATCATTAAAGGAACACATAAGCACTATTACATTGTCATGTTCAAAATATCGCCGGAGTTCATATTTAAGCATTTCGTAAGTATTTAAGTCGCACGGGGTATTACAAAGCGCTTCCACACTAGGCGGAAATATCAGGGAGCACCAGAAGCCTGTACTCACGTCGTTCGCAGGTTTTGCTGCATTCCTCTGCAGTGGGGAAATTGTTGCCGCGAAAATGGCACCCTCGAGATTTCTCGCATTTTCTCTTCACCGCATCGTAGATGTACACGGTCTTCTCCTTTCCCGGACACAGAGGCGGGTTCGGGGGCTCGAAGCATACGTCCCCTAGAAAAGTAAAAAGAAGACAATGGTCTTTATTTGTAATACTAGGTGGGCTCTAAAGAACTTATCAAATACTATGGTTGGGTTGCTGAATATCACTAACACCCTTAATGCTCCGTAAACACCTCCTAAATATTTGAACATCTCGGTTCTACAGGAAGGACAGACGATCATGACTGCTAAATAAGGAGTTATGTAGTTTTACAATTGTGAGGACGGTGGAATATATGGGCTCTAGTAAATGGCAAGATAAACTTGATAGTGAAGCCGGTGAGTAATTGGTTGCTAAGAAAGCATCACTACACCCAAATGTTCAAATTGCACGTCTCTCAAAATGGTAGGCATGCATCCAACTAACTGCCTGAAACGATAAGCTTTGACACTGTTATGACTGTTTTTTTTAGCTTTAGCAGTTCAGTACGACATGTCCTTTGTTGAGTTCCAGAATAGCAAAGTATAGTTTGCTTGACGAAATATAGCAGTTACCACAACCTCACTGGGGTTGTTTTACAAAATAAACATTGAGAAAAGTAGTCTTTCTTGCACTCCTCTCTTGCGACATAGAGCTTGAGAAACTTCGCGCAATACGCCGTCGTGCAGAACGAAGGTACCGACGGACAAAGTGCATGGATGATTTGAGGCTGGCTAGACGCATTCAAATGAAAATGCAGCGGCACATGGATAAACTGGCTAGGCGACGTTGGACATCCTTTTGCGAGTCGTTAGATCCACGAAAGCCCCTCTCACTGATATGGCGAACTGTGCGGGGTCTTAGCACAACCTTGGGTCAGCGAGACCCGTTTACATCTCTGGCACTTCACCTTCGATGCAGGGAGATTGACGTCGCAGAATCTTTCTGTAGAAGAATTGCCGGTGATTCCAATTTCACAGTATCAAGAACGGGAACTTTTGACAACCCACCGCCCTCACATGATCCCCGTATGGAATGCCAGTTTTCTATGGATGAGCTAGAGGCGGCACTGGCTCTGTGCAGACGTTCTTCAGCACCCGGTCCTGACGGCATTACCTATCGTGCCCTTTGTAATCTTGGAGACGAAGCTCGGAAGGCACTCTTACGCCTATACAACGACTCCTGGCAGACTGGTACTGTTCCCCAGGCATGGAAGTCAAGTCGCCTCATTCCACTTCTAAAAGCTGGTAAATCTCCTTTGGATATTGCCTCATACCGTCCTATCGCACTTGCCAGTTGTGTGGGAAAAACGATGGAACAAATGATTCTAACACGAATGGAGTGGTATTTAGAGCACTACGAAATCTATCCAGTATCCATGACCGGATTCAGGCGCGGCCATTCGTCAATCGACAACGTTGTTGATCTGGTGACATATGTTCAACACCAGAAAGCCTGTAAGAGACTGTGCGCCGCCCTGTTTCTAGACGTTAAGGGAGCTTACGACAATGTCACCCATGAAGCCATTCTTAGTGCTTTGGAAACAGTAGGTCTTGGTGGCAAGATATATATGTGGGTGTACAGCTACTTACAGCTGAGATCATTTTACGTGATGACAGCGAATGGCCCAACACCTGATTATTACAGCAGCCGAGGAGTTCCTCAGGGAGGAGTGCTAAGCCCTACCCTTTTCAACCTAACTCTCATTGGTCTAGTCGAGCAGCTACCTAGCACTGTAGAACTTTCTGTCTATGCTGATGACATCTGCATTTGGACATTAGGTGTGACAAGGCCTCAGCTTCGCGCCCGCCTTCAGAAGGCTACTACAACGGCGTCATGCTATCTTCGTAAACAAGGCCTCGAGGTGTCCTGCGGAAAATGTGCAGTGCTAGCGTTCACGCGGAAACCAATGTCTGCTTACAGTATATCGATTAATGAAGAATACATATCGTTCAGCAGAAGCCACAGGTTCTTGGGAGTCATAATAGATAGAAACCTGTCGTGGACTCCACACGTGAACTATGTGAAGAAGCGGCTGATCGCAACATGCCACTTGCTCAAATTCCTTGCAGGAAAAAATTGGGGAGTGCCCATATCATCCATGTTACAACTGTACAGAGTGCTTTTTATCGGATTCTTACGGTACAGCTTACCTGCAATGTCTAACACCGGCAAGACCAACCTGCGCGCACTTCAGAGCATTCAAGCCCAAGCACTTAAGATATGCCTTGGAATACCCCGCAGTGCTTCAACGGCTGAAACCATTGCCATCGCTCACGATCACTCGATAAATACGCATATTATTACCGAGACAATGCGCATGCACCTCAGGCATTATGCCAGGACCCCTTCTCACCACCTGGCGAGCCTAGCTGCTGAAAGGCCCCGCACGACATACGGCACTATTGTCTCCAAGCATCGTTCATCGTTTGCTGAGACATACGCACCTGCATCAAAGCCACTGCTTCCTCCTTGGAGCTTGAGCCGGCCGCGAGTTCACCTAATGATTCCAGGAATGAGGAGAAAATCGGACTTACCGACACATGCCCTGAAACAACTGAGTCTATCCCTACTGGAAGAAAACTACAGTAACCACGTGCACATTTACACGGATGGCTCTACTACGCCGTCTAGTTCAGGTGGAGCAGTGGTTATACCATCACAAGGGATAACTCGGTGTTTTAGGACTTCATATTTGACAAGTTCGACGACGGCAGAACTCGAGGCTCTGCGCAATGCACTGGAACACATCAATTCAGAAGAAATACCAGGTAAATGGGCTGTGTTTTCTGACTCAAAACCAGCGTTACAGTGCCTGATATCAGTTCTCCGACGCGGATGCCACGACCAGTTGACCTACCAAACCGTGAAACTTCACCACCTATTAATACAAAAAGGCCATGACATCGTCTTTCAGTGGTTACCTGGGCATAGTGGTATAGGCGGCAATGATTCTGCAGATCATGCTGCTCGCACGTCACATAAAGAAGCGAACAGCGTTCCGATACCGCTTTCAAGAGCGGATGCGGCGAGGCAGATTCGTCAACTGGCCCGCAGTCTCACACTGACTGAGTGGAACACACCAAGCATACGACGTACACGACTGCACGAGCTCGACCCTTCACTACAACTCCGGCCTCCACCCGGCCTACATCGACGTGAAGCTTCGCTTCTCTATCGCCTTTGGCTGGGAGTTGCTTTCACGAAAGCTTATACCACGTTAATCAGAACTACTGACAGTGCGGCGTGCGATGTTTGCGGCACCGACGAAAATATCGAACACTTGCTGTGTCATTGTCCTCGATTTGCCTCAGAGAGACAAGTACTTGCCAACGCAATGCGGCGACTGGATGATCGGCCTCTTTCTGTGCAGGTGCTATTACAGCAACGTACACATGCCTCGACAGCCCACAAGGCAGTGAAAGCCCTGCTGCGTTTCCTGAGAAAGACAGGCTTGTGTGAACGCCTCTGACATGCGGTAGAGTTATACACGCTGCAGTGAAATTACTGTCAGTCTCTCCCCCACCCCCTTTTTTCCCTCTCTTCCCTCTTTCTCGTCTTTCTTGTCCCCTTCCTTTATCCCCCAGTGTAGGGTAGCCAACCGGATGTCTTTCTGGTTAACCTCCCTGCCTTCTCCCTTTTTGTTGCTTCCTCCCCCCCCCTCTCTTGCGACTATGTATCGAACATATTCTTCTGCGTGATATTATTTGAAAAGGTTTTGGAAATGAGTTTCGAATTTCTGTTGTCCATCTGCACATCTCTCTCATCGCTTCGATTCAAGGTCAATGGACTGCAAAAACACCCATCGAACGAGGTTGCAGTAGAACCACTATTGGAGATCAGTCTAGATATTTTCTTCGGGGGATCTTTAACTAATTGCTGTTCTATATCTCTGCGTGGGGTGTGAAGTAATATGAAATACGCGTAGTATTAATATCACTTGATGATGCTTTCCTGCATTGGCACGCCGTCATTACAGTATTTACATATCAATGTTACTGCATTTTTGCGGTGCACCACGTACTAAAAGCCAGGGTTTTTCACTTTCCTGACTTTTGCCTTTCCAGATGTAAATTCTAACTAGAAAACTAAGGCTGAAAGGTCTCAGTCTTCAACAAACTTTAGACTTTTAAAGCAAAGCCATTCAACAAGCATAACAATCAACAAACTGGCATGGTACACTGAAAGAACTCAAAAAATGCGCTCTTTAGACTTTATTGCCGAAAATATATTGTGATATGTTCACTGGCTTACTGTGTATTTCTGTATCTGCATTCAAGACTAAAAAATGTTTATCAAATTCAAAAATTAAAACATAACTGTGCATAATGGCTAATTCCGTACACGCGTACCAGTGGCATATTGGATTTGTATTTACGTCTCCTGAATTTGGGTGCGCCCAACCACCTTAGTTGGCTAGGTGTATTGCGGAAAGTACATTGCCAGCATTCACTGAATTGATGGAAGCCGGGGATGTAAGAACGTTACTCACGGCTTCTGCAGATCCGGCTACACCTTTCACGGGTGGGGAAAGCGTTGCCCCTGGCCAAGTGGCAGGCGGCGCCCAATAGACACTCGCGCGTTTCCGGGTTGTAGTACCAGGTGTGTTTCGCAGGAGGGTGGTTAGCACAGGCAGGATCCAGGGACGGCTTCGGGTAACTGCAGTAGGCCTCTGTAAACGTAAAAACGATTATTATTGAGGGTACCAGTGACGAATGACACTTTCGCTATCTTCCATTTCACGCAATCAGGCGTCGGTGCAGGCTTGTATGAAAAGGCTTATAAAAACTCAAGGCGATGGGTAGGTGCCACCATAGTGTCGTCTCAGTAAAGCGTTGGAAGCACTCGCCTTTTCGTTCAAGCGTTGCATGGCCAGTGCAGCGTGATAAACGCTACGGGCCTTAGAATTATTTATGTATGCCTTTTCTAGTAAAAGACGCCCATACAGAATATATACGTGTTGTTATTGTGCCTCAGATATTCGCAATAATTGATTTTTAATTGACCATCACACGAGTATGAATGCTAAATTTTGAGCAACATTGGTGGGCGCTGCAGATGGGGTTGGCCGTTTGAAGTATCGTTTGGTCACTTTGATGCCTTTTAAGGTACCGATTAGGGATTGATTGTTATGTGGAGTTTAACGTCCCAAAACCACCATATAATTATGAGAGACGCGGTACCGATTAAGGAGGACAAACAGACATATACACAGGCAGACAGACATACCAAAACTTTTGCGTCGAAGGTCTTCAAGAAAGACTATCGTCTTTAAAAGAGTTGACACTAGCCGCGTCGAGCATAAGAAACAGCGAAGCTGGTCAATCTTTGGGTTATAGCATGGCCTTCATGAAAGGCGCTAGGCACTTTCTTGGCTTAGATAGTGCAGTCATAGCGCGGCCTGTCACGGGCCACGCAAACATGCACGAATTAAGCGCATGTCAGGGGATCGATACCCGGTGACGGCGCCCGCAATTTCGATAGAGGCGAAAATGCTTTAGGCCTGTGTGCTTCGATTCAGGTGCTGGCTAAAGAACCCTCAATGGTCGAAATGTTTGGTGCCCTCCACTTCGACGTCTCCTATTAACATATTGTGTTTTGGCAACAATACACCGTGCACTATTATTGTTATGATGTCCAAATTTGAGCGCGAAAAATGAACGCGCAAAACTGGCCGTGGCACACCCAGTATAATCACGGTCTTTTGTATCTCGTACTACTAGTGCCATGCCGTGCAAACGGTGCTGTGGGTCTGTATACTGTCTCTGTCTGTGGGCGTAGCTTGGCGACGTGTGTCTCGGCCCAGGCACGGTTAGGGGTCTGCAGTGGTGGTTTCGTTATTGAAAAACGGCATGGATGTGTTCTTTTCTTTCTTCCATACGCCAACAGCTTTAGAAATTTTGCTATTCAGTTTGAAGTAAATGCAACGTAAAAGAAAAAGAACGGATTAAAATAAGAGCTGCCTATCACAGCGCCGACACAGGTCACAAAGAAAAATATGTCCATCATTACCATATATCGGTAGCAACAGAAATTGCATATAAGAAACGGATTTGATCGGGATAGTGACGGCACGAGGTAGATAAAATCTCAACCACTTGCTTCATTCCACATGGCATGGAGAAAGCGGTCAATGCTCACGTAAGGAAAACTCCGGGGCACGCGAATGGGGATATGCAAGCGCCACTAACCGACCCCTGGTGGACGGACTACGTGCAACTCAAACTTTAACGCGAGAGCACTGAATCACTGAAAATCTCGGTGTTGGCGTCATCCCGGATGAGTGCAAGTGAAAAATTATCGGTATGGAAGTCGACGCTAGAAAGTTAGCAAATATGAAAATATGTATAAATATGAAATATTCGTGGGCCTCAGTAAGAAATGAACCCACGCCATCTGCTAAGTAAGCATGAACGTTAGAACAAGGCCATGCTTTTTATTTCTTTCATGGTATTTATTATGAGTATATAACATTATCACAATTACAATGAAGAATGGCTTGAAGCTGATTAGCAAAAATACACGCTAACAATCTTATTTGGTTGAAGGAGTCTTCTTACTGCATGTACTATAGCGTGACAGAACCGTAGAACCAGGCCAGGCGTCAAAATACGTAAATTTTGCAACTAATGTGTATTCTAATGCCCACCCGTTACATAGTGTTTAAGTTCACAAGGTGCTTCAGGAATGCATAAAGGGACATTCCATGATTCCTAATGTGAACGTTTATTCTGTTGTGGGCACTTAACTGCAGTTGCAGCGGGCATTCTATGATAGTTTGAAACGACCAATAGACTGTTTTACTATAGCGTAGGCAAAGCTTTGCATTACGCATATGTCGTGCTTTAACCTCTTGCGGGTTCCCGTAAAGTGTCACCCGCAACGCTATGCCCGTGTGCTTTGCGAACGGCATTCTGAAGCTTTCTATTGGTACGCGCTCGGTCATTAGTCTTCTTATGACATGGTTGGGGCATGCACCAAGAGCTTTCGAAGCTAGATTTCCAGTTAGTCCAGCAAATAAGAAGGCTTTGAGCATAGGGTCCCATTGATAAAAAATGCAGTTAACGCTCTGTTTCACCGACTTACCTAGTCGTTGAGCCCTACCATCACTTACATTAGCTGCCGTATAACAGACAGAAAGTTTAGTCTTTTGTGACTGGAACTATATAAAGTTCTTATGTATCCACACCAGGGTAGTATTTTAGAAACATCATATATTTAGAAATATTTGTGATAAGCGTAACACCTGCAAGTAGTCACTGTGCCCTGTGTAGGCTTGCGAGCACTTGTACAATGCTCACCTGTTGGACAGCTGTATTCGCAGTTGCTCCTCCGAATGAAGCTGTTACCAGACTTGGGACAGACGAACATACGCTCGCATTTTTTGGAGTCCAGGTTGTAGACCCACCTCTCGGCCAATCGACCACAGCCATGCGTTGGGGGAAACGTGTAGCAGACCTTGCTGGGCTTAAGCACTGGTGCTACACCTGAAGGTGTCCAGAAAGAAGATACGCATCATTTTTATCAAGGATCAAATACATGTACTATTTCTAAAGCAGGCCGGGAATGCATAATGTGCAAATTTGAATGTACAAGTGCACATACTAATAGAGAAGATGACGGAAGGTCAGACATTTTACTCAATTTGATTCCAATAGATAGGCATCTGCAAATAAATGGACTGAAAAACACATGACCATTTTAGCCGCACACGTTGAGCCAAAATAATCAAGGCTGTTTTCTTTAGGTTATAAGTCACTCTCGTTGTTGGAAGCTAGCCCATACATCATCAGTGTTAGTAGTGCTAGTGCTTTGTTCTCCACTCGTATTCCCATAAGAGTATTTCAAAAAGGTACAGAAGCCTACGTGCATAGTAACATTGAAATATTTATTCATGCCATTTGATCTCCAAAGCATTACAGCTCACTCATTCTCACAAAAAGTGTAAAACACGACCGCATTCCCAAAGTCCTCTAATTTGAAAGTGATAATGGCAGGATTGTTTTGTTGGATAATTAAAGTGGACTTGAAAGGGTTTCAGCCACTATCCGCAACAACCGCTGATGCGCCTCGCACTATTGAAACACTTCTAAAGTAATCTGTTTAGGCTAAAGCTTTCCTGGCACTCTGATCTAGGCACTCTTTAAAGGAACGAACAAGGGACGTGACCATAAGTTGTGTTTATCTTTCACTTCGTCACATATAAAAGTGAGGCAATGGAATGTAATTGGCAGGCGCCCAGGTGCCTTAGGTAAAGACGTGCTATCGAGGGTGTTGTACCAGTTCTCATATTCAATAAACAATAAGTGTCAGTGTTTGAGCAAGGTATTATTTTTTTGCACCTGAAAGCCTAAGTTACTATTGCAGCTCGTTATGATCTGTCAGCTACACACCTCAAAATAAAGGTCATTAAGATATAGAATGTTAAAATATTACTTATGCCTTAAGATGGTGAAAAAAGTCTGCTCTACGACTTCAAAGATCACGATGAATCTGATAGATGTGAATGATTGGCTTGAAGTGTGTTGGGAAATGGTGCAGCTAAGAATGGAACAAAATTATCTGAGAAAGTACGCAATCGCTCAAGGAGAAATGTACGTGGAATCAGTGATAACATGTGAAATACAGGCAAGTTGTCGAACCTGACGTAGTCAGTGACTCAACTCCTAAAGAAGAAAAACAAAAAATACCGTTAACCTAGAGAGGAACCGCATTATCGTGACCTAATCTAGTACCAAAGAATCTCCCTGTCTAACTTCGAGAACACGGCTTACGTATTCTCAATATTTAGCGCCGAGACTTTGGAGATGAGGCAAGATGAATGGGAAATACACAGATGCGACCACGCAAATGCCCCTGTATTGACACGACTTCCGAAGTCTGGGTACAAACCATTAGTATGTGCAGTACCAACAAGGCAAGAATGAGAGCCATGCCAATAACTTACGTCTCGTGCAAACTCTCCGGCACTCTTTCAGGCTAGGGAAGTTGTTGCCTCTGTTGTGGCAGTTAACGTCCTTGATACAGTCTCCTTTGTCTTTGTCATAGTACCAAACAGTTCGTTGTCCACTGTCGCAAATCTCCGCTGGTCTTGGTGCATCACACACATCGACTGCGCAAGGAAAACACACAATCAGTGGTTGCGTTACGCATGCTCAGCCAAGCATGATCATTTGAAGTCATCATTCGTGAAGTCGCCCAGCTCAACACACTGTGGTCATATATACTGACGTCTGCTCTATTTGTAAATATACACTCTATGGAGGTGCTTGACCATTGACGCTGAAAGGAACTGCCCTTTACTTATCATTGCATCTATAAAGTTTCATCTCCGCTTCATACTGAGCGATGAACATTCAGACAGGCTTGGTTGCGAAGGCCACGAAAAAGTGTGAGCACGTGCCACTGAGGTGCAATGAAATTGTACAGAGGTTTATAAAGGCACGTCATTTTCAATAAAGCCTGGTAAAAAGATGAACGAACTCTCTCGAATATAGCGTTTGTTCCTGTGAAGGTTTACGTTTGAGGGTTATACTTATTTCTGACGCATCTCCATCTGTGCTAGGGAAAACGTTCATACGTATATGCATTTTATTTTCGCTTGTACAGGTTTGTTGTAATATATGGAACACCACACCTTCAATGCAAGATTGTGTGAATCTCCTAGAACCACATTCATACTTATGAAAAGATTGGCGATGGAAGATGCTATTACAAGAATAAAATTGTCAAACTATTCAAAATGAAACCAGCATTGAAACTTGCAAAGCAGAGAATGATATCAACGAATTTATAATCGATTCTGTCATCATTTTTGCAGTTTCAAATACTTCCACGCCTTCATACCAGCACTTTGTCTCTTAGATGCAGACTCGAACACAGCTTTTAAGAAAAGCATGTGGCAACATGAAATCTTTCTTGGACAGAGCATGCTTACGACCGCCTTTGATACTCAAAACCATTATAAATGCCAGAAAGATGACGATAATGGCACTAGGTGAACTCTCACGAACACTGAGAACTTAACTACAGTTGACCTTAGAGTGGCACAGTGTATCATTTTTTACAATGGCTGGAAAACGAAACTTGTACATCTACAGTAGTACACAGCGTAGCCAGTGGTCACGTGTACACTTTTCATTAGACTTCATTTAGTTGATGCAAAATGTATGAACTAAGCGGAAAGTTAGTACTGATTTACTACATTAATTATCAAGCGCGTAATCGTAAAGGAAACGGATGTTGTACAGAAAACGTTTTATTAGCAGCGTGAAAAATACTGTCACTCTTACACTTCTAATAGTTGTAGCAGAAAAAGCTGCTGACGGACTATGACGGTAGCCATATAACCTGCACAGTTCGTCTAGCAACTAATCTCTCTGCTCTTCGCTATTGTTCACAGTTATTTCCTTCGTAGCAGTGCTCAAGTCATTTAGATACGTGACGTTCAAAACTACTTTGCCTTGCGAAAATTAAATGAGAAATATCTAGGCCGCCAAGCTCACAGTAAGAAATTTGTGCATTTTGCTGCGAATGTATAAACTATCGCTGATATATTGCTCATACTGACTGCATAATAAACAAGAGGATGCAAGTGCCAACAAGGGGGTGCAAACAAGAAGATGCAGGTGTGAGATCAGATTCAGCAAGAAAAGTCTCAAGATGGTATACATTTTTTTTCACAACTGCCAAATCATCCTGCGAAGGCGTACTTGTCTGTCTACCATCGACATTCCAAGTTTTTCTCTCTGTGCATGAATCGCATGGGTAACCTTTTGCTTCGGTATACAGTGTTCTAGCCCCAAGTAAAATAACTCTACTCACCTGCTCGGCATTTCGAGACGCATTCCGATCTCGAAATGAAAGCATTGCCTCCTGTGACGCATTTCACGGATTTCTTGCACCGACTGGTATGCTGGTCAAAATACCATTGACTTTGCCCAGTACTGTTGGCACAAGCAACTTCAGCTTTCTCGAACAGGCAGAATGAATCTGCAGAAAAATTGCGTGCCAAGTGTAAGTCCGAAGGCAACAATATTGCTTGTCTTAGGTGTCTTCTAGGGGTACTTTCACGCCATCAATCGTGGGACTTGGTGTACTAAGTTGGTTTACAGTCTTTCACTTCGCAATGGTAATTGATTACACAGGCCACATGCACGGAAACGCGTGGACAGAGATCTGTTCCAAAAGTGCCGCAACAACCTAAGTTTTTGATAAGAAAAGCGTCTGCTGTTTGAATGGTATCTAAAAATTACCTTCCTTTAAGTATTGTAAAAGTCAACTATACATTGAGTCAACTCTGAAGTCATATCTCGTGAAAAGAACTGCTAACCTGACATAAGGAATATTGATTTGGCACCATCTTTTTTTCACCTTTTATATTTTTGAATACTGTCAGTTTTGAATACTGTTTTAAATACTGTGTGTATGTGTTATGAATATGTCTGAGGTAAGTGCTTGGAGAAGAAAGGAGAATATCAGTTGTTGTTCATACGAACGAAAATTGTAATGGTTGCTGATTGCAGATACCCACCCAATCAGCGGTAGCTTTTTCCTGCAATGGTTTTCCTTCTTGGGGTATGCCGTGATTGAAGGTCAGCAGTTTCCCTGGAAGTTTACTTAACAAGCCCTCTATTTACTGAATAGTGCTAATCAACTATAGATTGTGTCTTCCTCGTGCGCCCTCCTTCCCGCTCTTCCTTAAACTCTCGCTTGTCAATTGAACATTACAGCAAAAATTACATATCAGCCGCCTATGAAAAGCACATGTACATCATAGTACACCTTAAAGCACTTCATAAAAATGCCTGCCGTACCAGCCGGAAATGAATAGAATATGGACACCAAAGTGCACCTTAGCAAACCATAGTGCACCTTAGCACATCATAGAGTACCTGACATACCACTCACTTATGAATAGACTATACACACCATATTACACCTCCGTACAACACAGGATACCTTCGATAGCAGCCGCCTATGAACAGAATATGCACACAATTGTACACCTTAGTACACCTTAGAATACCTGGCATACCTGCCATCCATGAACAGAATATGAACACCGTAGTACACCTTAGTACATCATAATATACTTGGCTGACGAGCCACCTATGAACACCCCTCTTATACCCCCCCCCCACCCTCCGTCTTCATCGCTGCCTAGCCACAGCACCCATACCTCCACTTTCTAAGGAACCTTGTGGATTACGCTAACGAGGCTGGCATACTCACAAGCAGGACAGGCGTATTCGCACTCCGTCTTGGTGTGGAAGTTGTTGTTGTCTTCGGCGCAAAACTGGCTCTTCAGGCAGTTCTTTGTCTGCATGTCGAAATGCCACTTCGACCCGGCCGCCGCCACTTTGCACGGATGGTATCCTACAGCATCGTAACATTTTGTGTGCGGGTTCTTTGGTCCCCCTGTGAGGAAGGTGCACTTTCTTGTTTCCTGGTACATATTGCTCACAACGTTATCAATGGACGCAAAAACATGTAAACAGTGTTACCACCACATTACGAATCATAAATACTATGAATACTTTGAACACTGAGAGAATTCAAGAGAGATAGAATGGAGAAGGCTTTTTGGAAAAATACTCTATGTACCACTGACAAACATTTTCTAGTGACACCCTTCACACAGTGAACGTGCACGCTGCTTGGAATGAACGTCTTGGAACGCTGCGCTAGGGACATTAGTGATGTCTTTAGGAGTCGAAATCGTGGTGCCGGTTGCGTCAGACACACGACTCTGTTGAAAGTCATACTGTCAGGAGTCGGCACTGCCATTCACAGCAGTGTTTGGTGACAGTGGATGCCTGCCTGTCTTCGCATTGGCATCCTTGTCATCAAAAGTAGTGAGACATCTCTGACGTAACATAAGCCATTTTCTTCGTTCAGCGAACTGGGAGCGCAGAGAAAACACAAAGGACGAAGCGAGGAACCACACAACACGAGCGCTCAACTATCAACTGATTTATTTTCCACATCGGAAGGACATATATAAACACAAAATGCGCATGTCAAAAAAGATAATGACGAAATCAAGGGCAGCATGCGAAGCGTGTAATCAAGGCACATGTCTAAGGGTTATCTAGGTAGCTGAATTCACAGTCAAGTAGTGAGAAGGAAGGATGACTTATACATTGGTCCGCATTCCTGGAAATGTGATAGGCTTCAGAAATTTCGCGCGTAGTTTGATGAGGATGCCGGATCAAACTACGCGCGAAATTTCTGAAGCCTATCACATTTCCAGGAATGCGGACCAATGTATAAGTCATCCTTCCTTCTCACTACTTGACTGTGAATTCAGCTACCTAGATAACCCTTAGACATGTGCCTTGATTACACGCTTCGCATGCTGCCCTTGATTTCGTCATTATCTTTTTTGACATGCGCATTTTGTGTTTATATATGTCCTTCCGATGTGGAAAATAAATCAGTTGATAGTTGAGCGCTCGTGTTGTGTGGTTCCTCGCTTCGTCCTTTGTGTTTTCTCTGCGCTCCCAGTTCGCTGAACGAAGAAAATGAATTACCAACTGGCCCACATTTTGATCCTTTTGTAACATAAGCCAGCACCACGTCGAGTAAAAAGAACACACAAGGCCGTGATGCATCCGGCTCAGTAGACTCGAAAGCGAATGCCGTCATACTTTTCTATTTTTGCTTGAATTGGACCACTAGCCCCACCCACGGAAAGAATTGTGCAACGAACGTGCTTTCGCAACACCTCAAGAATGGCGGGCAGCGTGCACATCACTGCAACTTTTTCTTTTTATTTGCTTCGTCTAGTTGACCCACCATGCTTACGGTGCTCAGTGGTTACAGTGCTCCACTGCTGTGCCGCAGGTCAGTGATCGATGTCCGGCTTCAACAGCCACATTCTGTTGAGGTGTGAACGCTACAGGCCCCAGTGCTTAGTTATAGGTGCACATTAAAGCAGCCCTCTACTAGGGCATCTCTCATATTCGCATCGTGTTTTAACGGTCAACTCAACCTGCTACAGCGAAAGCAGAATCGGCCCAAGATCAATCAACCAAATATATTATGCAGCGACGTCATGAGAGTGTCAAACCTACGACTATCTGCCACGTCATGGTGACATGTTATGATGACATCAACATGTGATAAATGGTTTTACGCCCGTGTTGAATAACGCATTTTTTTTTTAAATTGTGGTATGGCCTGGATACCTGCCAGAGAAAAAAGAGTCAAGGCGCGTGTTTAAAGGTGCGTATTTTTGTATGTGCCTGTGTTTCAACAGCGTAAAATATCAGAAGGTGCACCACAACCTGACGCTGTAGTCAAAGTTCGTCGTCTTTTTTTTTTTTTTACGGGGAATAATAAAGACTCGGCTTTGTCTACGTGTGCTTGAAAAACTCTTTGTGCGGGAAATGCTTTCATATGTGTTCTCGTCATTCTAAGGGAGATACAAAGTGCCTATCACCTGCGGCACATACCCGCATACCGCATACCACTGGCACATACCCACGGATTGACGAGAAGTGTTTTGATGATGTACTCAACGGGATTGACACACTCTTCAGTTTTTTTGACTAGCACGTTCTATTCGTCAAACGAGCTTACCTTAACATGCTAGTTTTGGTTCACGCCAAGTTAAGGGGGTGATCACGAAGCACCCAAGCGTGAGTGACTAGATAGATAGATAGATAGATAGATAGATAGATAGATAGATAGATAGATAGATAGATAGATAGATAGATAGATAGATAGATAGATAGATAGATAGATAGATAGATAGATAGATAGATAGATAGATAGATAGATAGATAGATAGATAGATAGATAGATAGATAGATAGATAGATAGATAGATAGATAGATAGATAGATAGATAGATAGATAGATGCAAATGTGTTTGCAGTTCGCACAGAAATGCTTCGAATTCAAGAGCGCAAAATCACTCCAGATCATGTTTCTCTTTAGGAAACCAACCGAGGCCTTTTTCTTCCCATCAGCAAAATAAAAGCATTCTATCCATGTTCAGCCAAGAATACGGCGGCCGTTCCTTCCTGTCGACGGAGCGATGCTTCATCGGCAGAGCTTTGCTGAGTGAGTTAACGCTACACCACGTCAGCGACGCCTACTGTCAGCATTGTGTTCGCAACGTTCATGAGGGCAACGTACTATTGCCGCTACGAATCAACAAGGAGCAACTGCCAAAGGTTGACGTCAGTCACATCACACATCATGTGTTGTCCCGTTGCACCGCAGTGAGGCAAGTGTTATAATGAAAACAGTAATAAAGAAGGAGCGCAGGACATCTAAGAAAGGAAGGGTCACGCTGAAACGATATATAGTAGGTGGAAGCCTGCAACGTTTAATAATCTGACAGAGAGAGATGGCAAGTGCTCCTCAATAACAAGAGTTCTGTATGTTTATAGGAGCGACGTCCATGGGCGCTATAATACTCGAGTAGCGAAAATTGCTCGAGGCAACGTAAAACTGGGGCGACATGGTAGCGGCAAGTTGCAACGTGTAGCTCAAAGGTAAAAGACTAAAATCATAGAGAGAAGGGCATGGTCGATCAAAAGCGAGCGCAATTAGTATATTCTCACATCGCGTGTTCTTCATATTCCTAAACTAAAACACAAAAGTAATTTCGATAAAACTCGTATAGTATTTCTCGTAGTATCTCTACTCTTGTCAGCATTCAACAAATTCACTACAAACGGCGAACTGGGGCGTCGGGGTGAGTGCCCGCACTTGCTTGTTGCAATAATCTCACCTGGCGCACCTAGAGACAGCACTCCTGTGATGTGTGGGCCTATCTCATTACTTTGCCTAAAAGTTCTACGCGGAGGCTATCTTAAAATTGAACATACCGGCAAGCTGCAAGGTGAGACAAGCGTATACAGTAAAGTGTTCATGTTGCCGCATGCTCTGTCATGTCAGCTGGAGCCTCCGCTTTATTTCACTTCAATTCGGCTGATTTGACAGTTGATAGACTTGAGTGGTTACACAGAAACACAGGCTGATATCTCTAAACAGATAGCTTTTATTGCTCGCAAAATGCTCTAAAGCAGGTCATAAAAAAGCATAAAAAGGTAATAAAACTTTGGTGACATCGTGGAACGTTCCATAAGAAATTGCTATCCAGTTTCAGACAGCATATTTGTAGATGCGTAAACCGGTTTGCGTCACACAAGAGAACGCAGGACGGCTTCTCGTTCTGCGTCGGGCGTGTCTTTTGGCGTCATTAGTACAAGCCACACTGACCACAGTGGAAAAAAAATTACCGCAGTGGAAAAAAAAAAGTATTGGCGTACAGGTGGTCGCCGAAAGTTTAACTCAATTCTTACGTAGCTATTTTCTCCCAATGAATTCAGTTGAACATGATCACTGTTGTACGACGTTGCAGATAGTCGCCGGGCTGCATAAACTGGTTGACGGTGACCAGGTAAACGCATGTGAATATATTTGATAACAGAACTTGTTCCGTCATTTCGTTTCTTTTAAATTCAGTTCTGTGTATCAGACAGCTGTTTGTTGCGAGAGTAAAAGCTTTGCTTTTTTGATGAACTTTAGCACACCAATGCACACTTTCAGATAATTGAACAGAAACAGCAAAATTATGCAGTCCTTGTGTAATTTACACCTCGGCAGACATGTCGCCATGTTCATGTCCGCCTTGTCTTATTCATTTTTGCCAAAGTGGACAATTAAAGGGACCACAAGGTATACTGCTTCTAACTGCATGAAATACTCAACATGCATTTAGGCTTCTCTACCGCATCGGCATATAATTTTAACTCAAACTAAACTTAGCTCAGACCTTTTTGACATGCACATCGTTAGACGCAAAACTGACAACACAATGACAACACAAGAAAATAACACTATCGCACACCCACGAGCACAATTGTACGCATAGCAGTATATAGTAACTCCGCCGATGAAAGACCAATATAATAGCAAACGTTATTTATTTATACACGACAGTGATATTGAACGCATCATACGTAATATATGAATGCATAATGTGTTATTACATGCACGCACAATACGATGCGCGGTACACGTCTTTTATGAAAGTAATTCATATTATTACAATTCATTTGTGGCTAAAATGATATAGAGATGTCAAGCCTGAAATATTGTGACATGCAATGACAAGAATTTATTGTCATGCGCAGTTAAATACCTCCGGCATAACAAAACAACTCAATACTATCATGCGACTAAACGTCTACATGCCTGAGGTATGTAATGTACGAGATGACGAATATTTGTTACTAAAAAAGAAAACGTGCCATGACAATTTTGATACCTCAGGCAATCGACCACTACGTCATTTAGTATGATACGTACTGAATTCATATGCTAAGGCATAATGTCATATTTTTCATAAAACGGGATGCTTTAGTGTGCAAGTGATCAAATTTAAAATACGATATTCGT